CCGTCATATTCGGTAGTTTGAAAAATTGAACGTAACTTAAAGAAGTTTTAAGCGACTGGAATTGGAACCATTTCTCATCGCCATACAGCAAACAATAGTGTTAAATTTTAAAGTGAAGTTACACTCACTGTGGTTCGTATTCATAATTATCCCAGGGTGAAATAAGCATTTTACACAAAAATGGTTGAAAAAAAAATAACTACACTAATTCGGGATTAAATCAATTAATATTTATGTAAATATTCAGGTAATGAACAAAAATATTTTTATAAACATTTTTTTTTTGAGTTTACTCTGTAAAATTATTATAGCAAGCTGAATATGAGTGAGAGTTGAATGAACTCCGACTGTGACGAATTCATGATTAGAGGGTGTGCGATTCAGATAGAGGTGCGTATGTTGTCTTTTTTTTCAAATGGTTACAAATAGTGAGTATATTAAATATACAGGGTGAGTCAAAATTCATTCCCCAGCGGCCGAATATATATTCTAAAATAAAAAATAAAACAAAAATGTAGAGTACTAAAATTTCGAAAGCGGAGCCGTTTTCGAAAAATTTTGTAAAGAAAAAAATTAAATTTATAATTTTTTTGTTTAATATTGACACCATTAAAATCTTATTATATCCATACAAAATAAGAAATAGCAAAAACGGAGATCCTTCTGGTTTTGGCTAACCTTCAAAAACATTACCGTTTTCGTTAATACACTTCTGCAATCTGTGGTATAAACTCTGAGCAACAGAACAGAAATTAGCTTCATTTATAGTAAAATAAACCTTTTCTTTTATGTATCCCCATAACCAAAACTCTATCGGAGTCAAATCAGGAGACTGGGGTGGCCATGGTGTTGGTCCATCCCGTCCAATCTATTTATTAGGAAAACGGCGGTTCAAAATATCTCGTACTTGCAATGTGGCATGTGCGGGCGCACCATCATGCAGAGACCACATTGTTGGACGTTGTTGTAGAGGAATATCTTCTAACCTGGCAAAATTACTGTAATTTTCACCATTCAGTATTCTTGGCAAAAAATATGAACCTATGATCCTTTTCCCGTAGATACCTTTCCAAACATTTACAGACCAACGTCATTGCTGATTCCGCTGACGTTATTTATGAAGATTCTCATAATGCCAATAATGAAGGTTGTGGTGATTGAAAACTCTTTGTTGGTTGAAATAAGCTTCATCGGAAAATAAAACAAAAATTTAATTAATTGGTCGTCTCCGGAATGCAACGTTTGAATTGGCTCTACATGATACGGATACAAGCTGTACCTTTGAAGACATCTATGAACAGTGGATTGGACATGATGCCTGTTTCTTGATAATATGCGTGTACTGGTGGTAGGATTATTCTCAACATCCTGCTGTAACCGTTCTTCCTGTTGCCATGTCAATTTTCGAACTCGACCGGCATACAAAGAACGTTTTGGAGATACGCATCCTGTTTCCGCAGTACGTATTTCTACATTTTGGATTGTTTTGTGATCGGGATGATGGCGATTCGGAAATTGTTCCTTGTACAAACGCTCGGCAGCACGGGCGTTATTGTTACAAGCTCCTAAAGCTTTAATCATATCGACGTATTCTCTGTTGGTACAAGCAAACCCTGCCATTTTGAACTCACCAACAAATACTAAAAGTCAAATAAATATTATACGTCACTGTCAAGTAAATCCGTGTCAGCAAGATATTTGTCCGGCCTACTTGATTAGTCAGTCGAAAATTGCGCATTTATTGAACTAAAATTAACTCGAAAACGGCTCCGCTTTCGAGATTTTAGTATTCTATATTTTTGTTTTATTTTTTATTTTAGAATATATATCTGGCCGCTGGGTAGTGAATTTTGACTCACCCTGTAGATACAGATACATATTGTTTTAGTAAAGTTCCAATAGCACTCACCCACTCAACTCACATTTACTAATCACAGAAACACTTATCTCAGGAATACACTATCTATAAAATGCGCGCTACTCACTCATCTCAATAACTCACTGACGCTAATAGTCCAACTAAATGGTCTTTTAAATCGCAATTTGATAAACTTGCCTGCATTTTTGATATAAGTTAGCTTGAGGTATATGTTTACCCTGTGCCCTACATGAGCGTTGATATATCCTGTCCTACATGCCAACTTCCGCATGTTAGTAGCGGCTAAGGCGGTTTTAAAGCTGACGGATCGATTAAAATCTTTAATAAATCTGCCTTTGTCGCTAAACTACAAGTACAACTACAAGTAATTAATAAAATACACAATTCTGTGCACGGTGACTGCACATACATAGGACATAGTACTCGCTAACGCTGTTTGATCGGACCAAGCACTGCAACAGTGTCGGAGGTTTCCGTCGCTACGTAGAACACAAGCATGTATTTCACACTTTTTGATAATAGGACTTGCCACATTTAAATAAATTTAAAAAGTTTTATCGTCTGAATTATACATATCAAATTGATAAATCTATTAAACGGTTCTTGATTTATTGTGACGAAGCAGTGATAAAATGCCGCACTGAGTCTTATATATACAGGGTGGACCATTAGTGTGAGAAAGTAAAATAATTCCCTTGTTATTCATAATACAGAAAAAAAGTTTATACAAAAGTTGTACAGAATCAAAAAACCTAAAGGACAAAATTAATTTGGAACACACAGGGCGATGAATAAAAACGGGACACGCCAAACATTACATTTTTTAAATGGAACACCCTGTATATTTTTAAACATGTATTTCTGAGAAAATTCTATATATGGCAATATAAACAGTTTATCATTTTAGTGCGGGGTTGCCAAGTTATGTAGAAAATTCTTCGAATTTTGGAAAAAACTTGACCTCGAAGAAGTCCATTTGAACAATTTTAGAAAATCAAGTTTAAACTTTCTAAAAATGATCGCATTATAAAAAATGCCCTGTATAAAATATCGATATTAGCTAATATAGGAGCCTTTGTATAACATTTGTCTATAGAAGTTAAAGGATGATTTCAGAAATTTAAAAAAATCTTAACTAGCAGAAAAATGAAAGAATTTTACAAATTTTTGGAGAAAGTAGCTCGATGTAGATGAATCAACTAAAAGAAATGGACTCAAATAACATGGGTACTTTTTACACAAAAATTATCTAATTTTAATGAGAAACAAAATAATTATAACAAAAATTCGATTTTCAATCATCAACTTTAAGAGTTAATAGCTGTACTGCGCCCAAAGAAAAAAGTCTCCAGGACATGGAAAAGAATTTTTTGTTTATCAAATCAAAAATGTGCTAAAGCATCATTTTTGATAAATGTTTAGAATGATACTTAAATTTTGCTGAATGTTAGTTATAAATTTTGTTTGCCTGAGTAAATTTCAAAATCAAATATGTATTTTACCACACCAAATATCAAATTCATTCTCATTCACATCCAATTTTTTGCTTTAGACTCAGCATTTCTAAAATAAGTACCATAAATTTTAGGGGTGGTAAAACATCAGAAAGTAAAACAAATACAGCTTTTTTTATCAAGTTTTTTTCAATAGAATTTTTGAAAAAACAATGTATTATATTGGAATTAAGTACAAATAAGTTTTTGACTCAAGAGTTATAGATATTGTAAAATTTAACATTACACCAAAAATTATTCTCGTTGAAATAGCTGAAAGTACGCCATATAAAAGACAACTACCTTTTATCTCTTAAAAATTTGCATTTTTGTTAACCGCATCACACAAATAGAGTAAATCTTACTCTGAGAGATTTTATTATTTTTTTTTGTATCATTAAATGCTTATTTACAGAGCGATTTCTCAAGATATTTAGTATTTACAAAAATAAAATTAAACGTAAATTACTTAACTTCAAAAAAAATTTTTATAAAATAACCAAAAGCTAATAGCACTGACATATTCAGCCAAAAACTTATTCGTTATTTCAATGTAATGTATTTATTTTTTACTCTTTACTTATATGAATTTTTCTAACTCTTTTAGTGGCAGGACTTTTCCTTAAAGTTAGTTGATGTGACCGACAAATTGTAAATTTTTATAAAGAGGCTTTGACTACAAAATCAGATAAATTTAACTTTAAAATGAATACAAACTAGTAGCTTTACTAAAGTAAAAATTAAATCTTAATAACATCAAGCAAATACTATAATATTCAGATATTAATATCAATTTTAGCCATGTTTGTAATATAATAAAAAACCAGAGCAGAAAAAAAGGTTTTATCGTCCTATTTTCCTCTAATTTTTTATACTGCTATATAAATGGTAACTAAGGCGGCGTATACAATAATATAAATATACTTTAATAGACAGGCAGATTATTTATTTTTTATAGTGTGTGTGTAGTATTGTGAGTGAAACAGAAAATAACAAACTCATTAACACCGAATGATAAGAACGAATTGTTCTGGCAATTGAAAGAAGCCTAAAGTTGAAGTATGCCCAAATGGAACGAAGAATAGATTTTATTTTCTAAGGGGCCTACACGAAAAGTGGAAACATATTTTCTCTAGGGGGTGTTGAAAAATTCACAATGGAATACACACACATTTACACTGGAAATTCTGTCATAATCCTCGTTTGTTACTAAAATGGTAATGCCAACAACGACCGATAGTAGTGGCTTGTGGAAATACAGGGATGTCGGAAACAATAAGAGATACTAAGTATGACTAAGGTGAATTTTTTGAGACAAAACGTCTGATTCTAGTTCGGCCTGAGATATTACAGCATTGGGGATCATGAAGGCTTGTAAAAAAATCCAGGGTCGTATTTAAAAAAATGATGTTAATGATGGTCCTTGAGAGACGAAACGTTACATACAAAAAAATATGCCATTCGATAGAGGGCAAAATGTTGCCATGATAAACTGTTCTTTTTTCAATATCACCTCAAACGAGGCTGAAATGAAACAAAAACGATTATGAAACTTTGCCTCCATTTAAGCTACTTCATGTCTCTTACTGTTTCCGAGATCTCTATAGTGAGAATTTCATTTATGGAACCGGCGCTGTTCCTTAAAGAAGTGGTGAAGCGAAACTACGCAATTTTCTGTACGATCCCCATCATCACTCTGTCAAAGGTAGAATTCCACGTAAACAAGTATTTATTTATTTCCCTTTCCACGCTTCCACATGTCAGAATAAGTGCGCTTCGCAAGGCAATAAAATTGGCTGAAGTATTAATTCAGTTCCCCAGTCAGGCGTCAAATTGAAACAACAACTTCATAAAACAAATGCAGTGTTATTTCTGCAGATATATAGGTATGCGACATACGAGTATACGTAATTATAGAGATTTATAGAAAAGTTTTGATATATTCATAAGATGAAATCTGTATTGAAAAAGTAAGTTTTTTATATTCTTATTATTTCCTGTTTATAATAACTGTACTAGGGTGTGTAAATGGATTAAAAAATGTAGGAGTGATAATGACTACGAGACGTACTGAGAAAATCAAAACAGAAAAAAGTGACTAAAAATATATCGACTTTCTCAGAATCACATCTTTCTTACCCCATTTATTTAACATTTTCTCCTTATACTGTCTGTATATATTATATACAGTGCGTTCTTCAACGGATGAAGTTGAATAATGTATTATTGAGTTTTACGGACAAAATTAGTTACTATATAAATCGTTCCTCAGCGGGGCTAATTTAAAGCTAGATTTTTGTACATTTGAACACTCATAGTGTGGTGGTCGTCTTTTAGAGGTTGAAGGCATTGTCGTAAGTGCATCTTGGGTGGATCTTGGCGACCATCGCGACGTCTGCGGAAAATATTAGAAAGAACGGTGAAAATGTGCATGGCTGGATGCTACTTGGTGGAAATTGAGTTTTGCATGATGCGTTCTCCACGCATAACTGGAGTATTTGAAACATCGTTGAAAATTTCTATTATCTTGGCGAGAACAGCGCCTCTTGAAGGGTTTTGATGATCATTCGAAACATGAGTGAATTTTGGAAGAGTGTCCTGCGTACTACGATAATATAATCCACACCTTGTATTTTTAAAGTTGCGAGGCTTTAACAGTAAATGTTAGTTTTTGACTGTGTTGGTGAAATCCGACGCCTGCTTGGAAGGCGACGTTAAACTCAATATTTTTTTTTAAACCAAAATTGATCCAAATGTTCATTTGGAAACAAATAAACAAATTCACGTGTGCATAATTAATTTCGTTGTACTTACATTTCTTGTAAATAAAACTGATATTTTGAAAAAGTCTGTCCAGGAAAATAAAGACTATCTTACCACCAATCCTAGTTTGCCTTCCTGAGTGAAAATAATATCAAAATCTCTTATTTCAAAAAATCACTCAGTGCTACGAGGAACAATAAAATTCAAGTTATTCTAAAAATCGACAGGACATTCTTCCGTCCTTTCCTGCCACTCCACTCTGAATCGAGGGTCTTCACAATCATACATCTGACTTGAAAAAAACTGTAGGCGCTTTGTTGAGTCTAGCTAAAGCTTGAAATAAGCGATTCGACCGAGGAGATATCGAGCTGTACATGAAAAAACGTTATCGATGACGACGACGCCGAGTGTCGAGACTTCTGGACCCCAGACAAAGACACTGCGGGCGTTCGCAATATGTACAGGATTATTCATATTCTTATTGTACCTATTAGTTCAGAAGACAGTTTTATAGGATTTAGAGTTAATTGATTTAGATTAGAAAATGAGATCAAGCGCTGTAAATTTATGATTTGCTTTGCCACATTCACTTTGATAGTGTGAAATGATGAATACGGTTGAGTGGTGTCGACATAAAGATACACTTTACAATTTTTAGGCAAGTTGTTAGATTACTTAAATAAATGGTAAATAGTAAAGGCCCAAGTATGGATTCTTGCGGAACCCCGCGTGATACAGAAGAATTCTTTATCTATTTTCACATACTGAAATCTATGTGACAAATAACTATGTATACACGCAATTGCATTTTCTGAAATTCCAATAAAATATAAAGCTGATAATAGCTCTATCAGAAACTGAAATTATATGTATAGTTTATTATTAATACCGTTGCACAAGTGTAACCAGATTTATAACCAGTTTGTTTAACATCTTCATAAAACTGGTTAGATGTTATCCAAAACTAACATTTTTTTACTATAAGTGAAATTTATTCGCAAGGAAACTATTTTCTCTTTTATTTAAAGTAATATGATTTTTAGGGTTGTTAGGCCGTGGCCTATGTACTTTGTTACCGCCACTTACAGACTTATAATGCAGTTTTTTAGCTTTAGCAAGAAATCTTTAACCTGTCCTTGTTTTGCTAGGACAAGGCTTTTTATTTCGGTTCCTGTTCATTCTAATACAAAAATGGTTCTCTGAGACCTTCCGTAGCAGTCTCTGCAACTGGACGCATCAAACATTTCGTTGTTCTTCACTGTCGGCACTTTCAATGTTGATTCTGCAAAAGTTTGGTCGCAACTGAGGCTTGCACTTTAGAATTACCAACAAGATCCGAAATGAGCATCATTTTAACTTTTCTTTGTTCTAATACAATAATAATAATTCTTTAGAACGTTCTATAGTATTCTATTACTGGTTATATCCAATACTTCCAAATGTTTCGCCGTTCTTCCATTCGCTAAAGTTGTACCGCGAATGAGACCAATTCGGACATTGTCACCTGTTTTATAGAGCTGGCGAGATTGCGCGCGCATGTAGACCTGCGCAATAGGATCGAAAGCGTGGTTTCGCTTTCATCCCCACTACTGTTATCCATCTTTCCTGAATAATACAATGGTGGGAGTAGGGTGTGAGATCCCGCCTCTAGTCCTGTGAAGTAGGATAAAGGACGTGGCATATCACTGCACTATGCAGGTCTGGAGGAATGATTAACAACAATGGCATCACTACGGACGAACGCGGTACTACGCATCTGACCCTGCTGCGTAGGCATACATGCGCACATAGCTACGCCAATGTTGTAAGATCAGTGATGTGATCTCAAACGGTTTCGGTCGCGGTGAAGTTTGCGAAGTCATCATTGAACATTATATATTATATAGAATGGCAAACCATTGCAAGCATTGCATGCTGGGCGCATGGAATGCATAAGCCATTAGAAAACGTCTGAGAGGGCCACCATTGTCTGATAGCGGATTTTCCTCACAGAGCCTAGCCTGAGAATAACAGGGGCAGGTCAAAGACTATCAGCCAAGCCTAAGAGAGTGCATTATAAATCTGAAGGCTACACGTAAACCAGAGCAAGACAACCTGAAAATGATTGCACTTTAAATAACAGCAAGGTACGTGAAAGTCTTAAAACCGCTATTAATTTCTCTGTGTATTCAAAGAAGTGTAATAAAAGCCAGATCCGTCTAATTTATGGGGTGATTTTCGGAAAAATTGGAGCTCAATAGTTTTATTAGGCCTTCTAAGAACAACCACGGGCAGACGAGGGTCAAGTAGTAAAGGTGCCATATTTGTATTTAGAGGGTGGTCTGAAGAGCTTTTGTCGCGGAGACTAATAAATTTACAAACCGATAATTAGAACAACCCCAAAACACTTCGAGTTAAGTAACTTCTTGAAAACGTATCACCATGTGACAGTAATCTGTTGCGTCCGGGAGGCGCCAGCCTATGGTGGGACAGAACTATGGTGTGACAGAACAAAGAAACCGACACTTTTAATTTAACTTAATTTTTAATAACGCTCGAAATGCATTCCAAAGAACGTAGGAATTCCAAGAATAAGTTGTTAGAAGTTGTTAAAAAAATAATAATGGATCAAATAGCTAGTTTTAGGCGAATTTTCCAAGCTATAAGAATATATTAAATGAGATTGACTAATCCGTCCCGTATTGCTACACGGAGTCACTAGAGGAAGGCTAGAGTTACTTGTAAGTCCAGTTAGTCACAGAATTATTTATAATGTAAATTCAGTCCATTAGATAACGATTAACATCCCGATATTCAGGGTTCCCGCCAGTAAGATAAGAACATATACGTCTGGACCCAAGAAATGGGCGTGTCGAAGCGAGGTGTCGAATTCAGGAGAGATCTCCGAAAAAACAGGCAGTTTTTCCTTGGGTTCCACATCGAGCAGTCTACTTAGTTTTAGAGTCTAGGGTTAATTTAATAATGGATATAGTCATTCCAAATTATGCTATGGTTCGCGCATTCCCTGAATCTCGGTACGCTGTCGCGTGTCAATAAATTAATAATGTTTTTCGAGCCCGTTGTGTCGTTATTTTGTTTGTTTATTTTGTTTTTATTGTTAATAAAACCCTTCCTGGAAGGTTTTGGTGTTTTCTTGTTCTTCCAACTTAAGCGTCACCCTATACAACCAACCACTGGATTACCTTGTGCATGAGCGACATACGGTAAGTGTCTGGTATTCATTCTCTGAACGTACAACATTTCTAAGTTCCCACGTATTAATTAAAGTGTAATGATAATTATAAACTCCCTTTCGAGAAGTTAATAGTAAATTCTTTTGTCAGTTAATACTGTTATGATACTGGTCATAGCGGTAGATAGATAATTAAAGAAATAACCCCTCAGGTTGCAGAAGATACAAATTTTTTCTAGAATGAAAAGATCCCTTTATTTTTCCGTTCGGACAGCACACTTTATGTATGTTGTTACTGAAACTAGTAAATAACTCATGCAACAAAAAGCTATTCTGGGACTCACCGGCCTTTTCCTCTTGTGGTGATCCACCAGGACCGACCCGTGCATGTAGACCGAGTCCGTGTCTGCCCCCGTCGACGACTCCGACCTTGGCCTCCTCCAGTCCTCCAGGTCCACCGTCGAACAGGCATTGTTGGCCTCGTCACTGCACACGAATACACTGTATGCACATAATTAACTTACGATTAAAGGGTTGGCTTTGGCGCATTTACTACATCGAACATCTAAGGGGTCTATTAGAGGGTGCTGTGTAAGCGGGTCACTCCATGCCTACCTTCGTTAGCAAACTGATTAAAGCATAAAATGTAAACTACCTTTATGAATTGAAACTGTATAGGACGTATAAACCACAATATTGTAAATAATTTTCATTGCACAAATGATATTTTATTTTCATTTTGTGAATCAAAGCTACCAAATAAAATCTACATGTCGCTATTAGTTAAAATATGTTAATATGACAATAACATTTCTAAAGATTGTGTCCTAAATAAAAGTGCTACATTTTTTTTAGATACACGGTGTTGAAGTTTAAAAAATAAAAACCATTTGCTATCATATTTCGGACACTTCAGCAATTTTCCTCCTCCTGCATCATGAAGTACAATTTCATGTAAATACAAAAAAGGAAACAGTGGTATGCAAACTACATTGAATTAAAGTTAAGTCAATGATTTTTAAATAGATTTTTTTTTAATGTGTGATCAGTGACGGACATGGTGTATTCTAATATAATTAGACATATTTCTTTTTTCTTCCTTTTTTGTTAAAAAATTTATAGCTATATTATGCATTTATTTACTAATTAGGCCAACTTACCTCTATTCAAAAGTCAAAAGTCAAGAAATGCGACGGAGGATAGTTTCAATCTTATTAGAGGTAGATATTTGAATCGACGTAAATTGATCTAAATCGTGAAAAATAAGATATAGGTGCAAATTTAAAAAATATGTTTAATTAAATGACGACTTGTAACCGATAAGTGCAGTAGAAAATAGAATTTTTTTTCTTTAAGCATTTTACCGATATATGAGACATATGAATATCAACCAATGAAATTTTAAATATGAATAATATTATTTATCCTTTAGACTTAGACAGTGACATAATATTTAGATATAGGCCTTAAGAGACTCCTATGAATGAAGTTTGCTCGCCACTGATTTTCTGTATTTACATGGAGTTGTACTTAATGATGGAGGTCCGAGTTAGTACTCTCCTTGTCAAATTAGAAAAACAGCAAATAGTTTTTTCAGTTTCAAACCCTGTAACTTGGAAACATTTTTCAATGAAATTTTACTACTCCTTTACTTTTTATATTTTAGCCATTGGTAACTGAACATCCTGAATAAATAAGGCATTAAATTTTTTTTAATTTGTTATAATTTAAACGACATTCAAAATGGTACAGGGTGATTCACTATATTTTGACTCTCCATTACCTTTTTTGTTTTTAGAGTTATAAAAAAATGTGAAATACAAAAGTTCCACGATTCTTTATGAATTTTTCGAAAATGATAGTATAAAAAGAAATCAAGACCAAACAAATTGGGCGCGGATGATAACTTTGTTAATTTACATGGAGAACCCTGTATATTTTTACATATTTGGATATAACGTTCCCTGTAGAGCATATTCATATAGGTTTTGTTGGGTCCATCTCTAACAATAAGCAAGATACAATTGAAAAACGAAAAGAAGGTTTTTTTTATTAATAAAATAAGACATCTTGTAATTGTTAGACCTCTTTCATGTATTTCTGCTTTTTTCCAAATACGTAAGGTTTTACAGATTTAGTTGTAATGTATTTTGGCATTTCGGACATTGATATGGTCCAAAATGGGTATAATTTTAACTAAATCTCAATAAGTAGTCCGTGAGAGGCCTAATTACTCTTGGACAATGTTATATTTATGATGGGAAAATTGAAATATCATAGGAATTAAAATAGAGCAAAGTTCTCCATAAGAGTATGGAGAATTAAAATAGAGATTTTTTAATTCCTAATAATATTTCAATTTTCTACTTCTGTGTAACCCATTTTATTTAAATAATAATACAAACTGTCAATCAATAACATTGTTATCGTGACATTACTACCTGCCACTGTCACGACCTATCATATAACGTTGTCCATAAGTAATTAGGCCTCGCACGGCCTAATTAGTGAGATTTAGTTAAAACACCTATACGCATTTTGGACCGTATCAATGTCCGCTATATCAAAATATATTACAACCAAATATGTAAATCCTTACGGAATTAGAAAAAGGCAGCAATGCCTGAATGAGGTCTAACAATTACAAGATGTCTTATTTTCTTCATAAAAAACTTTCTTTTCTTTTTTCAATAGTATCTCGCTTATTGATAGAGATGGACCCAACAAACCCTATATAACTATGCTCGACAGGGAACGTTCTATCCAAATATGTAAAAATATATAGGGTGTTCCATTTAAATTAATAAAGTTAACATCCGCGGCAATTTGTTTGGACTTCATTTGTTTTTCTGCTATCATTTTCTAAAACTTCATAAAAAATCGTGCAACTTATGTATTTCACATTTTTTTATAATCCTAAAAAAGTTAATGGGAGGGTGAAAATATAGTGAATCGCCCTGTAAATGAATGAATCGTCTATAATTATTATAATGAATACAAAATTATTTGAAAATTTCTTGCATTTTTATTGAAGCAGTAGATAAGGAGTGACCAACTGGAATGGAAATTGTACACAATATCTCTAAATTTTTGTCTGTAATATGTTACATGTTCTGTGTACAGGGTTTTCCATAAAAATGATTACCTTTGTAACTTTTTAGTTCTGGGGAAGAAATTTAATCCCGTTTTTAGAGAAAAACAAATAATGAACTTTCATGTGAAAAGTATACTTTTTTCTAGTTTTCCTAGCTCTCTTAATTTCAACATTATAAATAAACATGTCATATATTTCTTTCAGTGATTTTTCATAGATAACTTTTAAATTCATACAACCACTATCTACATTTCAACCTACAACTACGCTCTTTTTTATTGTTATTAAACTTAAATTGAGTTGTTTATATTAAACAGATTAAAAAATAAATACGATAAAAAGAGACTGACAATAGTTAACGTATTAAAAAAAATGTTCTTAATATCTACACAGTGTTCCATTTAAGATTGTAATACTTTCATAATTTTTTTCTCAAGCGAACCTAATGCGAATGTCACAAATGGAACATATTCATCATTTCAAAAGATTACCTACATCGGACGGAACCTAAAAGATTTTTTAAAGCAGTACTGCTTTGAGTGAAACATCCTGTATACTTATACTATATATATTTTTTATTGATATATTTTAGTTTTATGTCACAAATTCATCTTTATTGTAATTTAATTTGATTTTAGTCTTAGTATACTAGCAACGTGATAAAATTGGAATACTCATTTGTATTGTCGATATGAACAAAAAGTCTAGAAAACATATAAATAAAACATATGACATATTTATATTGCTGAAATAATAGAAAAATTACATATTTTAGAAATGTAATAAAGGATGTATATTCCACAAAAAAATCTTATGTAAAAGACATCGCAGGTGGCAAAATAGATACAAATACAAGAAACGAAAACTATCCACAAATAAATAACTTCGGACAAAAGACATCAACTTGCATACATATTTGAAGCACCAAGTTTTGTAGGAAATTTTTTTCCTAATGTCAAAAATAAAAAAAGTTATTGGGTTGATAATTCTCAGTGGAAAACCCTATACGTAGATAGTTAAACTGTATTTTTGTCAAAATAAGTGTGCATATACATATAACAAAAAACAAACATATCTAATAAATTAAAATATTTATTTTTTATTCATTTTTTAACGTATTAATTAAAAAAATATATTTATCAAATGAAATCAAACACTGTTCTTCGACACCAGACATGCATTCTACCTCACATGCAAGATTGCTAGCTGCTGATACTGCGGTAAACGACTGCTCCATGGGCTGAATGTCCCACGTGGTATTTTATTACACCACGCGTAACACACATTAAACAGTCAGTAACAAATAATGATTAAAGATACAATTAAAATGTTTTTTACGTGATCAAACTTTGTCAAAGGTGAAAGCAGAAAAATAGGAATCATTCTCGGAATGATTGCGTTATTTGTAGAGCTATCACAGTTGGCCGCGCACCAAAGGCGTACGGTGCGGATCATCAGCATAAAATAAAGTGAACATTGTGAAACACGTAAATTGTTTTACGTATCGTAGCCATCGATTCCACAATCTGGATGGGATCCATTATAGATCGCATCATCATGTAGGTTTCTACTCTTGTTTTGCGGCGGTGATAAAATATCTTAATCTGAAGAGAACGACCGTTCGACATCTACTGATGTTAATATTTGCATAATTAAATAATAATCTACTTCCAAGCTGGTCATACATGGTAATTTCCACTCGGGGTTGTATTTATTCATCTAGGAATGAAATGTTTTATTATTTACTATGTCAAATGGTAGATTACATGCAATCAGTATGAAGATTAAACGAAAAATAAATTGAGTCTTCTGGTTTTCGCCAGTTTTTTTATACGTGTATTGTGCACTAGCTGCTTACCGGTAAATTTGTTTTTTTTATGAATTGTTTGCTGTTTTTAGCACTAACTACGCTCGAGATAATTACACACAATTGTGCGTCAAAAGACAACAAAAATCGTAAAAGAAATCGTTCAATTACTAGGAAATCGGCGACTAAACGTCAGCTAGATAGCTAGCGTGGCTGACTGACGGCGCCAATGGCTAGCAGACCGATTGTCACAGCTCTAGTTATTTGAGAATGTAAACAAATCGGGTATGTGTTTTTCTATTAATTATTTAAACATTTATTTTATTTTGAATAATTATTGTTTGTTAGATGTCTGGTGTCGAACATTGTTTGTCTTCATTTAATAATTTTTTTTTAATTTGTTTGAATTTGCTTAATACCTTAAAAAATGAGTAAAAATATGTGGGAACTAATAATAAAATATATGTATTTTTAAATATTTAGTCTATTATTATTTACCTAACAGTATATATGGAAAGCTTAATAAATCATTAAATATTATTCATGCAGATTATATAGGTGCATATTATTTCTATAATTATCGCA